TCAATCATAAGTAGATTAAAAATCACATGAAAACATGTTGGATTGCCAATACACAATGTCAGAATCCATTAATGTGTCTTTTGGTTGAAAAAGTGTAACACATTATAAAGCACGCAAATCTGATGTCGTTTTTTGATGGAAAATAATGTAATTTCCAAAATTGAAATTTCTGTATGGTCATCAAAAACCACTGGGGATTTTCAACCCAGTTTCTACCTGTCAATGTATAAATTTGAGAGGATGACATGGAATAAGTCTCCAGTCTAATCGATTGCAAGTAATAGAAAAATGTCGCTTGTGATTTCTAGTAGATTTGATCTCTCGGGACAAAGAAATACACGTCGTTGCTGTTGCCAACTTATTGTTGGATGTCAATTATTTTTAATCACAACTTTCCTGTGTTTAGAAAACAGTACGTTTTTATTCTTTTTATGTCAGGCGAAACTGCTTTAAAAACGGTTGCGAAAGTAGGCAAATGAATCCTTGGTGGCAGATATAAGATAGGTTATTCTGCTGTTATTTCATCAATCTGCTAGATGGCCACTCTGGTGAAAGTGAGTAAATGTTATTATTCGATTATTCAGATTAGCTCATAGTCTTCTACAAACACTTGTCATTATTGCTTCCAAACAATTGGAAAAGTTTACATTATATGCCATGTCTGACCATATTATCTCTAGATAAACCTTTAATCAGTTTATTGAGAAGACTAGATTACTGTCAGTCACACATTCTTGTCACGAAGTCCATTCCATTTCTGTTACAACGAACAGTACAGGGTCATCATAGATTTAAATAAATTGTGATTCGCGGAGATTTTGATTACCTTAAATTGTTCTCTCATGTTTCTTGTGTCTTTTAAGCCCTGTGCAAACTGGACGATTTGACGACGGTATTCTAATCTTCGTCGATAAAATCGTGTCGTGGACTTCGGCAAATGCGAGTGGTCTGTGAATATTTGGCATGTTTGCTCTAATAACGTACTGACGTTCCGTGTCGGCTAGTATTTGGTTGATCTCATTTCCGGTAACTTTGCTGTGGCCTCCCCTAATCCCATTAAAATATCTGCAAATGTACACTTACATGTCCAGTTCAAACCTCGGCTAGTGTGCGCCGGATTTCGTTTACATGAGAAATATCAGTGTGTGCCACCGAAATTTTGGTAATGAAAAGTACTTCACCTAGAATGGAATATTTGGTTGACGGAAGTGACATCCGACAAAATGATAATTGTTAAAAAAGGGTTTCTAAATGACAATAGTTCTAAAACCATTTGATGAAAAGACCTGAATGGAATCTCGATCTACTTCACTGATTCAATTACAATAAATATAAAATATAAATTAAGTGTTGTCAAAATATATAGATATGGTTAATGCAGCCAATAGGTTATGGTGGTGTTTATGTAGTTCATAAGTTATCATAGGGTTAATGCAGCCCATACATTATGAATGAAACCCATATGTTATGATATGGTTTATGCATCTATAAGTAAAAGGTTAGTTCAACCTATAAGTTATAATATGGTTAAAGCAACCTATAAGTTATAATATGGTTAAAGCATCCTATAAGTTATAATATGGTTAAAGCAATCTATAAGTTATGATAGAGTTAATGTAACCTATAATTTATGACAGTGTTAATGTAGCTCATAAGTTATCATAAGATTAATGCAACCAATAAGTTATCATAATGTTAGTGGAACCCATACGCTATCATAAGGTTAATGCAACCCATACGTTATAATAAGGTTAATGCAACCCATAAGTTATAATAAGGTTAATGCAACCCATAAGTTATAAGGTTAATGCAACCCATAAGCTATCATAAGGTTAATGCAACCCATAAGTTATCATAAGGTTAATGCAACCCATAAGTTATAATAAGGTCAATGCAACCCATAAGTTATAATAAGGTTAATGCAACCCATAAGTTATCATAAGGTTAATGCAACCCATACGCTATCATAAGGTTAATGCAACCAATAAGTTATCATAAGGTTAATGCAACCCATAAGTTATAATAAGGTTAATGCAACCCATAAGTTATAATAAGGTTAATGCAACTCATAAGTTATCATAAGGTTAATGCAACCCATAAGCTATCATAAGGTTAATGATATACGTTATGACAGGGTTAATGAAACCCAAAAGCAATGATAGTTTGGTTGTACATCATCCCGCAACCATAAGCTTTTTAAATTGCATTGCATTTGTGCAAGAATTGTACAAATATCTTTGCTCAACAATATTGACAATATTGGGATTAATTAGTTGTAGATAAGTTACAACCAACAACAGCAAAATCTGAATTGTAAAACAGGCAATTGTCTCGTGATTGACATAAAACGAAAACGTTTTGTCGGTTGCGTGAGCTCCGTTTGATATTTTAAAAATTGTAGTGTCTGATAGACAATTTGAGAATTAAATCTCTGGTAGAAATTGTGTGGAGAAATGTCGATATCATCATTGCTCTGGACGTCATGACTAGAAAATAAAAGTAGAGATGATATTTAATTCTATACAACAAGACAGATGACTGTCACAGACTAATCACCTAAAACAGATGGTGATGACTTCCAATCTTATGTTTTACTCAATATATTCAACATTTAGATTAACTGGGAGATAGTTTCTGCTCATTCTACACGTGATGAGAAACACAAAATGAGATTTCTTTCAGTCATGGTTAAGAACATAATTGAAATCTCATTTGATATATGTCGTCAGTTTAAATAAAGATGTTGGGAGAAGAATGAATAACATATAGATTACTACATAAAAACGGTCCGAGTTGCATGTGGAATTTTTTTTAATAAATGTAGTTCTCTAACATTCTTTAAGACCGCGGTAATTAGTTTTGGGTGAATTAGAGTAACGTTACGAAATGTTTAAATTCAGAATATGTGCGAGGTCTCGCCTTAGTGGGGCCCCGAATCGACAAAAGCCTTGAACTCATGCTTACAATTACAACTGCGACCAATTGGATGATTGATTGTCGCTGATTCTGACAGCCTAGGTTGACGACAAGATCAATTTTTTGCTAGAAAAAATCATTGTTAACTGATGGCAACATTGGCCACAGTTTCGATTTTTCAGCTCAGAATGCGTTCTACCGATTGACTACGGGTCGCAAGTGGCTAAGCATTTACGTTGTCTAATTCTGAACAACTATAAGTTACATATCACTTGACCAAGTTTGACATCTCCAAATATTTATTGCTAAAACCGATATACGCCGTGACGTTAATGGTACTTTTCGGTTTTTCTATGCTACAATAATCGATACGAAAGTGGGTTCCAAGTACTCCTTGATCACATTTGATTAAGTGCATCATTCAATTTATAACTGCTTAAAGGGGTGCTTAAGATGTATTGAGTTACGATATATGCAAAAATAATTCCTTGTTGAGAAATTGATATGTAAAAAGATGCTCTTTGCAAGTTGGAATATATTAACAATGTCCTAGTCCACAGATCGCTAGAGTGATATGTTGAAAAATGTCAGTATATAACAAACTGGCTGAGACTTGCACGTTATTTGTTAGCATGTTCATTATAACGGTCTCGGAAGTATTTTGTTAATCAATTTGGAGTATATCAAGTCTAAGTAATGGAAGAATATTGATGATGGAGGAAGCGTCAAATCAAATATTTAAATTGTAGGAAGAAATCGAGTTTCTGGAATATTTGAAAGAAATGATCAAAGCATACAGCGAGACGTGAGATATCGATGCTAATTTGATGAAATGTTTCGTAAAGTGAAAGAATTATACCTTCTAGGCAAGGTTGATAATTTCAATAGCTGGTTTGGCGAAGAAATTTAGAATATAGATTATATACATTAGAGTTGATGGAACGATAATAAGGTAATTTCTGACCAGTTCTGTACATTTAATGGAATGAGGAGCTACCGTGGAACAAATATAAGTCAATTTGTGTATAGGTTATATTGCATCGGTGTCAAAATTAGTCTTGTTATTATGTGTGATCAACGATGCTTCTATTTGGAAAGGGTATGACTCAAATGTAAAGGAAACATCATTGTTAGTTCGTGACACATGTTCATCTAGTAGGTCTTAAGGACATTGTGTGTATTATTGTGACTGATTTATTCTAATAATAAGTGTATAGTGATAACATGTGAATTTTATTTTCAACGTGTAATTTGATAATAACTGTATACTAAACATAATTGTAATTCCTATTTTTCAGACAACGGTTTCTATATGCCACTAATAATCATCTATGTCAGTTTTAGAGTATGGACAAGTTTGTGTCCTGACGATACACTGTCAGTCAGATATACAAGAATTGTCGCCGACAGCGTATGTGACAGGTTATATTCCAAGCAGTAACTTGTTCTGCTATATTCGACAATGTTAGTGTTTGTATGATTTTAGGAGCACATTTGTCAAAAAGTGTAAGTACTCTAAGGTTATCTGATATTGGATTCTGTTTACCTATTACCAGTGAACCAGGGACATGGACAATGTAGGCTATTACACAATGCGAAATCGTTTGTTTCATAATATAGGTGTTGGATCTAAATAACACTTATGTGATTCTATGTTTCTAATGCATTCATTACACTAGAGAATGACAGTGTATGTGTTTCATGTAGTTGTAACATGGACCTATGTTTCTAATATAATTGTGTTTTGTTACACATGAGAAATACAATGTAATGTATCATGGATATATATTTCTAATGCTGTTGCGTATTGCCCAATATAAATGTCTATATGGATCTATTTTATTTAATTAAATTAGTTTATGTCAATGGCAGTAGATTAACTAATGATGATATGAGCTTATTAATGTAGTGATAATGGTAAATTTAATGGGTTAGCAGACTGACATGTAAATCGAACCAGGAGTAGGAGTTATATTTGGATGAAATACATTCCAACAGCTAGACACGTACAAGCGTAGACATAAAACTTGGTTTTCGAGCCATAACTGAACCATTATTGTTGTTCACGATATGATGGTTAAGTCATGGCAGTGAAATGTACTATTTATAGAGTGACAGCTTTTTCTTTTACCCTTGGTGCTATATCATTAGGGTTATTAGCCCTGGCAGTGAGTACAGATGCTTGGTTGTATATGTCTACGGCTATTCAGATCTCTCCAGAAGTTCGTCGACAATTTAATATCACTGGAAATATCATTATACACATGAGATCAGGATTATGGAGAGTTTGTACTGTGAATGTGGCAAATGGTAAGTTAATATTCTTTAATGAACATATGGAAATAGTTCTCTATAAAGGAGCAATAACAAAATGCATTTAATGTTTCTCAAATTATTAACCCAGTATCATCACTAAGTTCATCCTCCTGATAATGCTGCCTGTATAAGGAGCATATGCAACGTTCGGTTATTAAATTGAAAAACAGTATATCCGTACATCTAATGCTTCTTTGAAGGTAATTGGCGTAAGGTTTCGTACTTCATTAAGCATAACGCAATTAACTAGATTGTTTCTGGAATATTTATTTGCCCAAAATTGATTCACTCTGTTAATTAGATTTTCAAATACATGCATGGTCAAACTGTTTCAATTTAAACATCCAATAGCGTTTCATTGTTTTACAAACTAAATTAATGTTTGTCCTTTTTTTTAAAAAAAAAAAGACACCACATGATCGAGCCCATCATGCCGACTTTACAACAACTGCTAATTACTATATCAAATAGTACTGGTGATCAGATCCAAATGTTGCTTAACAGTAGAACATGAGCAACTGAAGGCAACTGCATTTTTCAATCGTTGTTGCGACGTGGTAAACCTATCCCAGGTACAGTCATGTTATCGGTTGCTCGTATAGTCTTCAGATCTTGCATGTCAAGATGGATATCATCTGGTATACCATTTATGACCAAACCTGAGGACAATACAGTGGTTATCAAATGAGTAGGCTTATAGATTTGAATCCTTAGTATTTTGAATAGTGAACCAATAATGAATAATTCGCTTTAAATATTTCAAAATGTGTCATGAAGTAAGGCTGGGACTTATCTCTAATACAATACGATATTTTGAGGTTGGTATAATGATCTTATTTGAGCAGACATGCGGAACTAATATTTTACATGTGGTATTATTATGTAATGGACAAGTTTGCAGTCTAAGGATATAGCTATAACATTTTGATATTTTTTAGAAATAAACTTTAGTGTTAAAATCAGTGGACAATAATTGGTAATGATAGTTAACTGTAAAGAGTGTTACATTTGTGATAAATGTGAATATAGGTTTATTTTGAATGGACCTCTCTATATAATTCTTAATGAGTGAAAACGATTATAAAGATTACCATGAATATGCAAATTTACGATGCAATAACGAAAAGGTGAAATGTAGCTCTTCGATTTTTATTAAGTACGCTGTAACTCTAGTACGAGTCAGCTCTTACAAATTTTTCCCTTATCGATGGCGAAGCAAGGATGAGACAATATTAAGAGAATTCAGTCGACGAAAGAAGTACTATAACCTGTCTACAACCATAAACGTGAAGGCACTGTCAAATACGTCGAAAATTATCCATCATCGAATACATTCTCGTCCAAGTGACGGAATCATTTTTCTAGCTTATGATGCCGATAAAAGTCAGTCAAGATTTAATGCTGACAATTTATGAAATATGAGTTTCGAAAATCGATTTACAAGGTCATTTTATTTATTGCTGGACTCTTGGTGCGAAAGGATTTGTATTAGTTTCAGAGACACGTCGTACGCGGTAGATTCAAAACTCAGAGGATTGACGGGTTCATGGCCTTATGGTAATAATCCCGTCTAAATATGAAATATTTCAAGCCTGTGTGTCAAATTATAGAATCCGGATTAATAGATACATATGTTTAAATCCCTCCTGAGAGAATAAAGTGATTAGATTAACTCGACGTTGTGACAAACGTGTGAATAAATCGTCAAAAATACGCTTTGGAATAACGTCCACACAGATTTCATTTGAACCTATATATGAATATTCATCCTGTCAAACGACAGACTGTCTTAAAAACCCATTAATTTCAATACAGCTAATATAAAGTATAGCAATGTCGGATGAAAATAACGCAGATTAACTGAAGAAAACTTAAAGCTGATTGAGGCAACCAGATAATTTTCACCATAATTTATTGTAAGAAACATAAACAAAAATCCTTATTAATTGATCACGGATAACTTAAACTATCAAGGTTTCACACGTAGTCATAATTTAGCACATGATAGTCCTCGAATCATGTCAAATACAGAAATCAAAGATACACAAATTTCATGTTGGTTTTACAATGTCATGGGTCAGATTAAGTATGACTTCTTTGTGTAAAAAAATATTTGAAACCAGAATATCATTATGGGGTCCTTATTGTTAAATCCTCCAGCAATTTTTCTTAAAAGGACAGCTGCGCCTTTTTTGACCAATCATACCTTAGTCTCAGAAAAGGGCCATTTTTTTTAGCTAAGCCAATCAGTAATAGTGATCACAGCTCAAATCTATGTGTGTCCAGAATTATCCGAGTTTGAAAGTTTAAAAGACGACTCGTCTTTTCTTGAGACACTGCCATATATAGTAGACATCTATGGAAATAGGTAAAGAGGTAAAGAAATTATGCGATTTTCCTACATCCTACTACTACTACCCCCGCCCCTTTTCGAATACATTTTAGACTTTACCGCTGACAAAGATTAAATTCTATATTTAGAAGATAAATGATCAGATTTCGTTATTGTTTCTGTCCAAGCCATTTCAATGAGACAAACAAATTGATGATATATTTTCAGAATTTGTTACAAATACCACTTCTTTACAAAGTTACATTTTTAAACTAAGACATGCGATATATCAGTTATGACATTTTAATTCAATAGAATCTGTTTTAGCAAACAAAAAAGCCATCTATTATCTGTTAATAGTTTGTCAGTGGATCACAAAAAATATGAAGGAAAGTTTAAAATACTATACATATATTTAAACTGGGTAAAGCTAGTTTTCGCATTCGGGCACTTTTGGTGTTAACTACTTCAATATTGTATTTATTTTACAGGCCGTGTACGTTAAAGATCTCTAGACAGTTGGGAATTGAAAAGAGCAGGCTAATGCCGCTGTCCTGGTAAAATTTCTTTCATTGCACACAGTATGTCATTGCCAGTCTTCATTAGTCCAATTAGGTGAAGACAAGAAGGGCGTAAAACTCCATTCATCTAATTTGAAAAAAACGAACGATACCATACATCTTGATCCTCAAGAAAGGAAGTTGTGGATAACGATCCATTTTATAGGAAATATAACAAGTCTTTATTTAGCAAGTGAGAAATATATATTCAATCCTTACACCCCCACCCCCTCACTTCCTACCAAACACACACACATTAGCAAGGTATCTTTCTTCTTCAAAAAGGCAATATTGTTGTCTTAAGTTTATTTCCTGCAGGTGGTCTACATTGCAACATATAACAAGCAAGTACACGAGAGTCAATCATTAACCGTAGACGTGTGACCAAGGCTCTCTACCCTAAATCTATTCTTTTCTATGAAATTGTTTTGTGACAGTCTAATACCTTCAGCAAGGACAACTATTATGGATATACTACTCCTTTAATTTAATTTTGCAAAGTTTCAATTCACATACAGGAATCTTTATCAAGCATAACAATTAATAATGTTAAGCTTGATAAAGATTCCTGTATGTGAATTGAAACGTTGCAAAATTAAATAAAAGGAGTAGTATATCCATAATAGTTGTCCTTTGCTGAATGTTCTACCTACTTCTAAATGCCATTTAAAGATTAGTCTAATACCTTACTTAAAACCCACTGGATCAATCTAAGCTTCTTCTATTTGAATGACAGTTTTAGTTTGTAGGCCTAGTCTTATTCCTTTTTTAATGTCATAAATTTTATTCGGATATTTTTCTCAGATTGTTCTTGATTTAAGCTATGGCGACCATGTGGGTGTTTCTAAAAAAATTTTAAGAGTTTAGTGACGTATCCATCACCTTCATTAGCTATGGTGGTTCAGAGAAGACCCAGATGACGCGTTTGGTTATTTAGTTGCATCTCATCTCCAGGGCTATTCAGGGTGTTTCTGATCGAGGGTATTCTTTAAACAAGCATTGAAACCTACATAAAGTATTTAGTAGAGGAACCTTCAAGAGGTCTCGATTGGATGTTAATGTTTCTTCGTTATTTTTCGTTCGGTCTGAACTAACCAAAGGAGTGTTAACTGGAATGGTATTTGGATGTCCCGATCCTACAAATAAAGAACTAAACAACTGAACTGGTGAACAAGCAGTCTGTTCTCTCTCATTAAAAAAAATAGGTTAAGTATGCCATACCTATCGTCACCCTCTTTCTTTTACAAAACGTATGTGATATGTAGGGTTTGGTGTATTGTTACTAAATTTCATTATTCCGAATATAACGAGGATAATAGAAAGCCCATTTTAAAGAAGTATGTTGCATGTTAGTAACTCATATCATTACAGAGAGCCGTTATTTACTGAGGACGATACATTTACATCTATTTATCACACCGTCTGTCAAATTATCAACCATTTTCCTTATCTTTGCTATCAACGACCAAGTAATAATTTATAGATTAAAGCTCTCTACATATTATTTATCGTAGTTGGTAAGTTTACGGTGATTGATATATGAATGGGTCCAGAAACCAATCTAAAAGTTAGTCAGATAAGATTAAGTTATAACAATGTCATTTCCCATTCATTAAAATCATGATGATTTGCCATAAAATCTGGACAATTTCCTTGACACCAGTCACATTGCTTTCTAATGGTGTCATAGGTCTTTCGTGATTATCCTTACTACATATATATCTATATATATATATATATATACGGTGTCTTCAGTAGCAGCACTAAATGGACTATGGAAATCTTTTTCAGTCTTGTGTATTTTATTTTTTTTGCACCAATCCAACATACCGTAAAACGTCTACAAGAGCTACAGATGTTAATTCTAGTTTTTTCCACAATTATCTCAAGCAGATTTTCTCTTTGGTGGTCTAACCATTCAATTTATATATTTCTGTTGAAGATACTGATGATCTGGTATCCTACATAATTATAATATAGCAAAGTTTGTATTACACCTATTAGCAGTCAGCTGGTCAACCAATGGGTACACGTATCCATCATTTGGTCACGATCTAGGTGTGTAAGTACACATATTAATAGTCAGCTGGTCAACCGATTGGTACACCTTTTACCAGTCAGCTGGGGGTCAACACTCCAGGTATATGTGTACACCTCTCACCACCCAGTTGGTCAATACTCAAGGTATATGTGTACCAATCAGATGGTCAACATTCCAGGTGCTTCTATCATCACTTATTTTGTAAAGAGACTAGTCACAACTGATCATGTCATCTTCCAACTCCTACGTGTTATACATGTATTTAAAAAATGTACATCTGGGTAGTTCACCTTCTCAAAAACAACATCGATTGAAATTTGAGGTAACAAACTTAAGGAGTATCCACTATTTCAAAATTTATCCTTTGAGGGATGTTATTAGCTTCTGCTATCTCGTCTATCTACATTGAGTCTGTCCCAAGGTCCATATAAGTTCACCATTGTTTTTTTTACTCGACTTAATTATCCGTCATCATTGATGCTCATCAATGTCTCCGGCAATAAAATTAACGCCATAGTTTTTTACGCCAAACATTCCTTAAATATGAACGAGCCAAAATAATTGCCACATAAACTTCTTTATTGGAAAACGATTCCCGTAACATTAGGATGACCTGGAACCGTAATATATCACTTCCTTAACTTATATTGACAGTCTAATCTGTGTTTTGAGACAAAGGTTCTCTCAAGATATGATATAATAATAATGAACAATTATCAAGAAAACATGCAAATAATTTGATACATTTATTGTCTGAGACAACAAGAACACGACAAACATCGCGCTAGACAAATATCAAACAATCTTATTGACAAATTACATACTTTATATGGATTTAGATTTACTTGATGTCGATCTTGATACCGACATTGGATTTAAATTGTCAGCTTTCATAGAGTGTCTGGCTTATCAAGTCAAATCTCTCTTTCAAAACAAATAGTCTTACTTCAATTATAAAGACGTTTCATGAAATATTTGATTGTACAATAATCTCTTGGATAATGGTAGCCGAATGAATATTGTGGATTCTATTTCAAGGAGAAAAATGTACACCCTTCCATCCAGGCCATTAATTCATCAGCTGAAAAAATCAATTAGGTGGACATGACATTGACAAAATATAGCCATTCAAGACGGAAGGTTGTCTCTATTTCTGCCCAGTACACTGGACCAACCAAAATGGCAAGACCAATACGAGATTGAAGCGTCCACGGGAACCGTGTTCTTTAGGTCGAGGTGTTAAAAAAGTACAAATGACCCTCTGGCCAAATGCATAAAAGTTGTTTTTTTTCTGCAAGACTGAAAATAATTATTGAAATACTACGTGAAATCGGAATAATACGAGTAGGGAAAAAATAATTTCAAGACCTTTTCCGGCAGGTTACGATATAAGAATAGCAGATGCTTATTTGTCACATAGCTTGAAGCAGTTTGAAAATTGGAAAAAAACTATAAAATACCGTGCTCTTGATAAATATAGTACTCGATCCGAAAGCTCATTCGTACGTAAGTGTTGGTGATATTGCTTTGAAGTAAAAACAAGGCTGTGGAAAATAACAATTAAATTTATTTTGAGATTTACTTTCGAGTACTGTTTGAAAGCGGCATATAATACACTCATTAGATCCCCGTAACCAAAGGGAGGGGGGGGGGGGTTTGGGGTAACTATGCCCACCCTAAATCAAATCTTGCCCCCCCCCCCCTAGAAAAATGTACCGGTCACTTTTTAAAAATACACCTTTTCTTTTTGCTGAGTTAATAGGAGCGGCAGGTAACTGAATCTGAGTGAATAGCCAACAGTGGTCATTCTGGTTAGGCATTTTATGGTGGTGTAAGTGCATCAGTCAGCTGCTCTTGCATTGTCGATCATATGATGAGTATTTCGATATTTTGATTATACGTAACGAAAAATAAGGTTATGGCTTTCAGGGCTGCGTTATGCGAAATGGTTCAACAAAATACTAAGTATTCCTATCTGTAGACCTACTTAAGAACTGTTTTTAAATATCTTTCTGTTTATACTTAGCTGAGGATGAAACCAGACATCATAGCTTTTCATAACATTTTAAAATTTAATTACATTAGAATAGACAATTTGATACAATTGAGTTCGTTGAAAATCATAAAAAGGCTGCAGTAAAGCGTCATTGGTAACAAAATTATTGGTCTGATACTGTATTGTAATCTGTCCCGTCTCAAAATTCAAAAGATTTGATTGGTTGATTATAAATACTAATAGACATATATTATCCTAAATTGTATCCATATGAATCAAACAACCAAACGTAGGAAAAATGGATAAATATTTGATCAAAAAAGACAAATTGCTTGATGGTTCTGACACTACTACGACTGACAATGGTATCAAAACCACAGCGGCAACACAACGGATGCAGTACCAAGATGCTCTGAAAAGACAGGAGTAGCAGGTGACATTGGAAAAGAAGACGTTCCAAAGCAACCGAGAATAAAATTCCCAGCGACGTCTGGTCGCCATTTTAGTAACAGCTGGTATGATCGATTTCCATGGCTGGAGTATTCAGTGTCAAGAGACGCCCCTTTTTGATTTCCATGTCGGGTGTTTCACAATACATCTGCGGGTGCATAAAAATTCATCACAAGGCTACACAGATTGGAAGCATGCTGTAGGTGATACTGGAAAGGGCCTCGAGAAGCATAACAATTGAGGTGTCAAAACAATTTCTCCAAGATAACGTTGCCAAGACAGAACATCAGGACTCCAATCTTGTTCTTCAAAAACTATACGAGCAGAAATTGGCTTTCCCTAAATTATATGCACTGACTGCAAGCGTTGCCACATTCGGTTCTAGTACCGCTGTGTGTGAAAGCAGCTTTTCAGATATTACTCGCGTTGACTCACCACAACGACGATCTATGACTCATCTTCGCCAGCGCAATCTTGTTCTTCTTGCCTTCAACAGGAAGCGTTCCCAGAAAATTAACTTGGACGTATTCGTTCAACGTTTTGCCATAAAACATACCCGACTACGTTTAAACTAAAACGGCGATAAAAATGTAACGTATTATAACTTGTGTGTTTTAACAAAAATAATCTCGAATCTAAAATACTCCATGAAAGTCCGTTTCCCGACGTTTAATCGTTTGTTAAGGTGCTTTGCTAAATTGCCCCCCTCGATTGCACGTTTGACTCCCCAGGAATACTGGTCAGGCTACGGGCCTGCTTTAGATCACGAGATCGCACTTTAAATTCCGTATAACATTGTCATTATCGTATATTCGGATATTGTGTCATCTACGTCTTCAACGGCTTCCTCGAGTTCTAGATAAGTCCCATGTAAATGCCTCAAAACTGTCGATGTTGCAAGATCCCATCATTCCCTGTTGACTATGTAACGATTATTGAACGTTTTTTGCTAGTCATTTAGAAAGTGATTGGGCGAATATAGTGTTAATCAGTACAAAGGGTCAAAACTGTTGGAAGCCAAAGCTCTAGAAAACACTCCCCTCTTCTCAATGCTGGAAATTGAAAACATCTCGTACAGCTTATGTGACTTGGTTCGTTTTTCAAGCAGTCGTGACAATTTGCAAATAGCTTTATCAAACATGCTACTTTTATATTGACACTATTAATTAGTCTGGGAACTACTGGAAGCTTTTAAAACATTATTGAGAGACAACTTCCAGACATTTGACCATCAAGCTATTAAAACCACCATAGTTGACTCGAATAACCTTAACTTACATCAACACCACTTTTATTCAGTGCTGGTAAAATCAATTCCTTAAAAAAAATTACTAGACCTAGGCGAAGAAAAGTTATTTTTGATAGACGAGATTTTTATGAAGCAAGTAAAATACATGATGCTTCATTGATTACCTCTCATTTGACCAGTAAACTTTTTCTTGGTATCTTCCCATAATTATAAAGTTCTCGTATACTATTCATTGACTTTGTCAATCTTAAATAGAAATGCCAAGCTTAATTGCAGTAAACCTATGTTCCTTTGTAGTAGCAATCCATTTGCTATATGGAATTTGTCTGTAATTACATGCATAACTGAATAAAAATGTTTACACAGATGACGCGTTAGTGCCGAATTTATCCGTAAATCTACTTTTGTTATGTGTTAAAGGAATTGTATGGAATAGAATAACTACAACACACTGTCACAGATGAAAGTCAAAATGACGGAAAATTAAGGATGAACAGTATAACATTATGACTTCATGACTCCAGGAATTTGTGGCTGCGTTCTCACAATTCTTCCTTGAAAAATGACAAATTCCAAAATTAATGGTAATATTTCGGTATATTTCAGGTGCTGAGCCAGATCAGTGTATGGCTATATATTATCAACAAAAAGGAACAGGCAGACTCGAAGGAGCACCTACCATCATGACGGTTATAGGTAAAGAATTTAACCAAACTAAAGTTATTGATATAGAAACTATCTAAATATTTAAGATGCCAATGTTGCAACGTACAGCTAAGATCTTTCATCTTAAGTTACGTTAGGCCCCCTTTACCGGATCGATCCACAAAAAAGATCGTACAATGATTCTGAGGATATCGACATGACCGAACATCAGATCAAAAGAGTAGGCTGTCCTGACAACCTTTCTCAGTACACATACTGTATCGTGTTGAGCCAAAATAATTATGTTTAGGAGGACGTAAAACTCGACTAAGGACAGCATTAAAAAGCTTCTGAAATTGGGCGTAAAAAAAGTCAATTTAACATTAATTCGTCTTTTTATAGTCCGCCTCTAGTTTTGATCATTTTGATTAGCCAACAAAATGTACACTATAGCTTTGTAAAAATGTAAAAAATAATTTTCTCAGATATACGCACGTCTCAATCTATTTGATTTCCCAGATTTTCCGTTGACATGTGTGGAAAAGATATTTGTACAGATAGAGGTATGATTCATAACATGAAAACAAACAGTATACTTAAATATGAGAAATAACTTGAGGTTTTTAAGTTAGACTGTGTTTATTACCACTTTACCCACCTACAAGTGAACCATGGTTTTAGTTCGAGTCGTCCGCATATGTTCACAAATATATAGCTTTAGACAGTGATGAACTCGAATTATTAATTCCATTATAATGAAAGCTACAGAAACTACAAACAACGACAATACGATTTATCAGCTTAAACATGTTAAATGAACTCTGTATTTTGTCTTCCGGGTGTTTCCTTTCTCAATTATACATGTAACAAAAACTTGGACTTTGTTGAAGCTTGTTTCAGGCTGTTTAATTAACTCTATAAGAAGCTTTCAGAAGAGAAAGAGCTTTGAAGTCAGTTTCGTTCAGATCTCTATGCACTTTCGTTCTTCCTAAGAAAATACGATCAATTGTTTCTAAATCCTAGTTTGGTGTTAAGTTTATATCCCAGTGATGGCCTATAATAGAATGATAAAGGTACCGCCCATATGTTTTTTTCTGAATTTCATCCACTCTTCGCTCCGACAAAATATTTTTTTTCATCAAATACTTTCAATGACTCGTGTTACACATTGGATTGGCAAAAATACATTGTTACATCGGCTGTGTTATACTGAATTAACTGGACTATAATATTGTATTGAAAAAAGTACGGTTTGATGTGCTTCTTTTATTTTGAAGAACATAATGAAGATAGGAATAATGAAAACGGGCTATCGAATTTAATGAGAGACATTTTGTAAAGACAGCAACACTAACCCACCTGTTCTCAATTATTGAGGCTGTATCTAACATGGCCTGGAATCTTGTCTACCTGTAAAAATGATGAATGTTTAAAAGGGTTACAAATAGAATCTGAACAATTGGTGGGATAGAGCCCAATATTGCTAGTGTAGCGAGCATGAGTTTAAAAAGGGGCTCAGACTGACCTTGCGTCAGATCTAAGAAAAGTATCTGGACATGTACAGGGATTGAGCATCGTATCTCGAGATTGTCGGAATTAGGGACATTCATTATCAATGGATTTAATTGACATGCATCAGCAACTAAAATATCTATTTTTTTGTTTGTTTCATTGAATTTTGATCATTTATTATTCTCTTTATCCAGGTGCTATACGAGTTGCTGCTCCTCTACCAGTATGTGCTTTAATTCTTTGTGTTATATCCGCTATATTTCATTCTGTGGGCAGTATACATGGCGACAGAAAAATATTATTTGCTGCAGGATTTTACATTTTATCAGGTAAAATAGTTCTTGCTACATCTTCTCATGACACAAGGGTACCTTTCTACCCAAATGACCATTACCTGTTATCAAATGAAACAAAACAGCAATTTTAAGTGTTAGAAATTAGTGACTTAAGAATAGATTTAATTCAAATTTGTCTGGATCGGATGTAAACGTTAAGATATAAAAACATTTTAAACTCAATGGTCTTGACTTTTGATATATATCTCATTCCAGTTCCTAATCCTTTATGAAATGGTAAAAGTAAACACTTAGAAGGATATCGCATAGATTTATTTTTAAGATGGAACCAAAGATTCTGAGAGTGAGACCTAATGAATCAAGTCACTCGAAGATGCCAAAAATTGACGGCACTTGAACTGCGCCATTTTATTTTAAAGTTGTTTTGGTATATGAAGGAATACTTTAAGATTCGAAGTAATACTTCGCTTAGACGTGACTTGAGGTGAATCTTTCAGAAGCACTTCAGTTTATTGAACATTGCCATGAAAACAACGTAAAATCGTTTAAGATATTGCTTCCTAAACAATTCGCTAATAAAACCGTATTAAAGAGCTACAAGACAGGTCAAGACGTTTAATAAAATAGATTCTTTCATTATTAGTTCTATTCCTGACGTATTGTCGTCTTAAACGTGAAATATAAGTGCAAGAACTGACTTCAAATCAACCAATAATTAGGCTGGGAAAGAAAGAAGATGTCAAATTAAATTCTATAATAATACTACCGGTATAGTTTTGTTTTGAATATGAGCATAGTAGATTCTCTGACAATTACGAATTATCACAGGCACATAGTGATATAAGGTGTTCTGTAAACTAAATAAACCGTTTGCGACATACGCTATAATAATTATCATTGACGAACACATATTTCTAGCTATATACAAGAAAATATCCTTCGTCAAATAGATATTGAAATATGATTGACAAGTTCCTAAGTGAATAATAGAAGCCACATTAGAGGAATCATTACATATTAACAAGATAGTGAGGGAAATTAGCTTTGTTAACTGATGAACTATACTGTTATATGACTGTATGAAATGCCATCTTCGTTTTCATTAGCTTATAGTATTCGATACTGTTTGCGTCAGATGTTCGGAAAACATAAGATGTATAGATCGCGTCTGAAACTTGTTTTAATCAGAGTTAATAATAATATCATCAAGACTTTATAACCAAGTTATACCAATAAAACATAATCTTATCACAACCTAAGCTGCAATCATCTGTTTGAACCCTAGACATTTTCCGATTGTCATATTATAGAGAAGAGTCGATAATGTTTTTGCTTCAGGATATCAATTTCACAAACATGAGATAAAAGCATATTAAACCTGACAGAAACCTGAAAATAAATCGAACAGAGAACAAGGTGATTTTTTGAAATACCAAACCATACATGAAGTTTTATACTTTCGAATCATTGTTTCATTTAGAATGGATATATCTTCTAAGAAAGATGAACTCAATTACGGACAATTGTTTGAAGATATTGCTCAGAAGATAGCATGCAATATTTCATAAGGGTTGTTTGAAAAAAATGGTTGACTATCAAGGAATTTTTTGTTATCTTGAATCATGAATATTTTCATGAATTCATGCTGTGAGCCAGACTGTATATTATATCGATGCTCTTAGCTTCCAGGAATATCATGTAAAGAATTTTATTTTGGATTAATTGTCTGAGTGGGATATGATAATAGGAAACTTGACAGATTTTGAATTTGATCCGAGATCAATAATTATTGATAGATCTTTCCGAAGATGACAAGAATTAAAGAGCAACGGATTAATTAACACAGTCCCAAGATAATTCGTGATGTTAACAACAAGTGCTTACGTGACATTTTTAATACAGATATATATGTAAAGTAGATAAATGATTTAAGAAACCAGTCTGCAATTATGTAATTATACAGAAACACAGAGCAGCTATAAAATTTATAGCTACTGAAATCGATTTAAATAGAAAATATCTTTTATTGAAATTCAGTACGACTCTCTACGGACACGATATTTTGTTCTTATTTCAATTTTTAAGCATGTTTTATTCTAATCAATTTTACGCTTCATCAACCATTTTTAAGAAGAATTCTTATCAAGAGAATCTTCTTTTTAATTATAACGTGATCTCGAATACATATTGAGTTCTTTTATGCACATGTGTTTCCGCTAGAATGAAATTTAAATTCTTTGATCTAGCTAATAAGCAGCGAAAGTACAATATTGGACTAAAATAAAAATAGAGAAAAAAATATTTATCTTGGATGCAAATTATATTGCGTTTTCAGTTCAAAACATTATTATTTTATATGGGTTACTTTACTAATAGGTTACTATGATCTAAAAACATGATTTTGAAATGAATTTGGAGATGCTGATTTTATTGAAGATATCATAGATTAAGGGAGAATATTGATGGAAACGCCCACGTCATCAAATCGTGGTATTAGTGAAGTAACAATCAAAGACTTGCTTAACGAAATATTCAATAACGGAACACAATTTTGTGGTATACTACTCCTTAGTTTTATCGTACACAACGTTTAACAATCATCATCATTCGTTGTCATCATTCGAGTAAATGTCGCAGAGGGATTATAAACGAAATATGTACAGACTGTGTCAAATTCATAAAATTTTATAGAAGTTTTGTACTGAAATTGTAGAAGTGTCTGTTGATTTAGACAAAAAGTTCTCTGCATGTTCACGGGGGTTGCTACAGACATCTTCTATGGACTAGGTGGTCCTTTAACAATCGTTCTTTATTATTGCGCCTTTTATTTTTCAGGTTTATCATTAGCAGTTGGTATAGTTCTATATATTTCTGCTATAAACGATGAAGTTGGACTTATATCTAAAAAAGAAAGAGACCATTTTGTGTATTATTACGGTTGGTCGTTTTATACCGCGGGAATAGCCTTTATAACTTCTGAAATGGCAGCAGTTGTGTGTGTTAATTTATTCCTACAAAAATATACCAAACTTCAGGATTTAGAAGATCTAATTCCGGGTTTACAATTACAGGTCCGGTTTTCTAAGAAAAATTATTACGCTGGAATAAACCAAACTTTGATATTATGACCATAAAAATTATCTTACGACAAGGGAATAATTCGTAAGAAAATTGCCAAATGTGATTTTAATTTCCTCAGTGCCTCGGTTACAAAATTCATCAGTAAAACACAAGATTAACGTATTTTTAAGTGTCGTTATTTATATTGTGTAATGAGTGACATGTTGTGTTTGCATCCCAAAGGAATGCTTTGAGGAAATGGAAATGTATTAAAATAACTAATTACCATGCTTGTCATCCCAAAAACTAAAACCGGAAGTTTTCAATGTATTGAACCATGTAGTGAGTTTATATGTTAAAGGATTTTACCAGTATGAACGAACCACATAACTGTATATCATGTTTAATGTTGACGTCCTTGTGTTGTGCCAAAAAATTAACGCGCTGTGTACATTCTTGCGCCTCGGTGAAGAGAAAAACTATATTGCATTGACCTCGAGTTGTAAATACGCAACATAATAGTTGCGAGAGATTTGCGGAAAAGGCTTTACCTACTTCATATGCGAGTCATATTTTGTTGCGGTATAGTGTTGGGGAATACCTTCTAATGATTGTAACATTTCAACCGGCCATTAATGTCAATATTATTTTCAATTCAGTTGAACGAAGACATTTTTATATAATATACTAAGTTGCCATCGATATATCTGTTTATGTATTTTGATTTTGTAACAATAAAATGTACGATGTTTTACATTCCGATTTAGACTGTTGCTTTATTCTCATTTTTATTTATATGTTATTGCCTTGACTGTCTTTGGTCCTAGGCTTTCTACTCCAGTAATTTGTGCTGAAACAATGAGTAGCGGCACGTTTTTTGTTTGTGTCAGAATACATCGTAATTTTCAGCGATCAGAGATCCTATGTTATGAAGAAATCATAGACAAGAATTTTATATTTTGCTTCTTTCGTGTATAATGGAATGCGCTATGTTGGCTTAATATACAGCTTTATCTGCCTGTTGGGTCCACTTATTATACTGTCATTATTCGTAATACACACAATGTCATGGTACTCTGAGTATTTTAAACTGATATAAGAGAAATTATATATCAAATTGCTAAGAATGTCGGAGTAGTCAGATGTCTAAATTCATAGAATATATTGTATAGACTTTTGTCAGCCAATTCCGATATAATGTTTGATGTATGTAATTTGCACATTGTTCAAAGTCTCCTGAATTATACGATTCCATTTTGAAAACGTAATCTATATTTGATGAAAGATGAAAATGCTATTCAATTCAGATGTTTTCAATTTCAACTAACATCAGTTGACTGTCTTATTTAAATTGGATATAACAAATCATTCGTTGGAGTCACTTCGACTTTGGCAACCTTATTGTAAGAAGAGTTTATCGATATACATCAGATGTTAGCGGCGTGGCATTGCTACTTAGCTCCCAAAATTGTTATAAGAACAGTATAGCAGCTCGATAATGTAACCTGGAACAACGTGTTCTACTGAAGTGTTGTTGGTTAAATGCTGTTTTTCCGAGTTATTTAATTTAGTCATTCAGACAAGTAAACTTAGTTTGCATACATTGACCTATTAGCCTCGAATATTCTTGTGCTATTCAGTCTCCAAATCTACTTCGTTATATTTCCACTGGGAAAGAACAAAAATGGCTGATACCGATACAATAACAAAAACCTGTTTGCAAATCAAATTTTGTTTAGTTATCGTTTTCTAATTTCACGACATAAAGCTTTTTAGATAATTATAAATGCATGCGGTTGTGTGTAATCTATGCAATCTATAGACTACATTAACGAAAAACTCTCACTGTTAAAATAGTGCTCAATGCATCAATTTTAGAGCGATATAGAAATAGAAATATCAAAACATGTTGTTACTCAGGGTTTCACTTTATACGAACTTCAGACAACTAACCTATATAATTCAGCCTGTGTCCCTTCTGAAGTTGGACAACTAGAATTTATTATCATAAAAGATATTTTTTTAGTTTAGTTTCTGTTTTAATTTTTCTATTTCAATCTATACACTACATCAAAAAGCAAAACAACAAACAATAGAATTGAATAGAATAGGGTTGACAAGAACCTGAGATTTTTCGACTGCTGTCCTAATTCACATTTTGGAAGAACAATAGCCCTACTTCTATCACCTTGCATCTACTTAATTGCCAACGTCCACATTCCTAATTTCGGCCGCGCAAAAAAAAAAAAAAAATGCCACATTGGCACCAAATGGCACTTTATGTTTGAGTAGCATTCGCGCATTGCTCACGAAAGTGGTACGCAGATAGTACGCACACGAAGTACACTATTTACGCTAGTTGACGAAGACATTAATCATTGGAAAGCCAAAGTGCAAGTGACTCGAGAAAGAGACTTTAATGAGATTAGGTGTCCGAATAGTCGAGAAAACAATGACGTTGTGCCATTTAAGACATGAGTAGAACAATGACCAAATTTGACTAAAGCTAAAAAAAAAAGATATAACAATGATAAGTTGTAAGGTGGACGAAATATCGAAAATTTCAAAATGCAAGACTTTAGATATATACATTGAATTTTGAATTGAAACTTTTTCTCGTAACGGTGTAAGTTTTTAGGAGGAAGGATATCCGACATAATTTAAAGCGCAAAAGGATGTAAATTTATTATTGTCCGAGTAGAATTCTGTTTCTTTCTCAAAGAAATTATTTTCTAATTTTTTAGTAAATGTAATCACACATTTTAAAGCGTGTTGAAAACATCTTTAACACTGGTAAACAATTGAATTTGAAAACGATCAATATTTTACTTTGCAATCTTCACCAGACTGTTAAGAAGAATTATAGTTAACCTGAGTTGATAAATTCAATTTAACCTGGCTCAATGCTAGTCTATACAGTGAGCAGTATCTAAAAGTCACAATTATATTTATTTACCGTATTATAAAAGCTCGGCTCAGTCAGTTGGAACTTACACATTCGGTTATTTCACTATAGATGAAGCGGGTTATTGAGGTCGGATGAAATATGCAGGTAATCTCTTCAGTGTGACTATAGGTATGGAGGTCAATTTGCGCCATTAATCCATTCTCTACCGATTTGTATAATTCACTGATTCAAAGACAAATGTAAAATATCTTATTACCTATTACTTATAATTCTAACAACATAATGATTGAAATGCTAAAATCAAATGTTTATTTTCACATGTAACTTAACTAAAGTCGTTTAGTTTTCAACTTTTCTGAAAAGCCCCGATGAAAGGATTTCTTTTGAAATGAAAATATATAAAGGGTCATGGGATGTTCTTTGGAAGGAAGATACAGTATTTTATTATTTTTCAGACCGACAACATTTGTTGGGAGCAGACATTGTTTAAAAGAATGACGTAGCAATGCTGAATATTCAATAGGTTCGCGACCTTGGTAATTTGCATAAAAGATAATTCATTTGAGATAAAACAGAAGACATAATACACTAAAGAAGTTGCACTTATCATTTTACTACAAACATTTTCCAATTTAGAAATGACACTTTACAGTTTAAAATATACTTCTGATATTTATCAAAAAGGACGGTGATTTATCATTAAAGATTTTTGGAAGATGCTAAATAAACTATTTGAAAGGACTTTAGTTAAGTTACATGTGAATATAAACATTTGATTTTAGCATTTCAATCATTATGTTGTTTGAATTATAAGTAATAGGTAATAAGATATTTTACATTTGTCTTTGAATCAGTGAATTAGACAAATCGGTAGAGAATGGATTAATGGCGCAAATTGACCTCCATATATAGGGAGATACCTTCACAGTTGGACATTGAACAGCAATGAGCTTTAATGGAAGATTTCACATATTGTGTACTGCATGGCGGTATCTGAATACTGAAACCAGATAGGGAACAGGAAAGTAGATCGTAAAACTTAAAAAAAATAATTTAAAGAGACATGCATGCCATTTTTAGTCTTTTAGTAATTTTAGTCTTGTTTATATGCAAATTGTCTTCAGAAGTGTAGGAAAATCACATAATTCCTTAAAAAATTACTTCAAACTAGGAAATTTACTTTCTATTTCTATATATGTCACAGAGTATCTTAATTTGACGAGTCGTCATTTAAACATTCAAACGCAGATAATTCTGGACACACATGGATTTGAAGGCTCACATTTCGACTGTGAGCTGTGAACACTTTAACTGATTAGCTCTACTAATAATTTCCAATATTTATAAGAAAGAGTGTAGCACGGCTTTGTGCATGAATTCACTGCAAGTTCAGGAATTATGCTCGCCAATCGTATGTAATCATCAGTATAGAAAATTTCATTTTTGACTCGAAATCATTTTTATCAAAGACATTTTAGGACTAATTATAATATTTTGAGGCTGCTATTCAAATTCTCATAAAAATAATGGATACAATTTTTAAGAACTGTTCACTTTGCTCAGACAATAAATATTTAATAATAATCTGAATTAACCATAAGATCAACAATATCGCGGGTATTCACATATTGGTCGTATGATAGATTATATACATGCCCTAGTGTTCCCTGGGGCGGTCATTAAGTAAATATATAACTAATAATTGAAGACTTTGCCAATATAATTGCGCCCATTGTTTCTGTAACATTGTCAAGGGAGCTTAATAAAACATTGGCCTTAATTAAATAGTGTAGTCGTGTATAATCCTAGTCCAGAAGATGCAATTTACGTTCAAAGAATTATGTCTCGTAATTCTTGTTAATTCCTAAAGTTGAATTGTGAGATCAAAAGCCTTATTTAGTGATTTGAAAGTTTACAATCGTTGCGAGAGAACCACGGGTCTTAAGGGACGCGACTAAGATACATTTTAAGTCTTCTGGTAAGGTTAACACGGAATTTAATTACTTTAATAAGACTACATTGCTTCGTACATACAAATATTATGTTGTTTTTTTAATCCACATAAAGGTGCGGGAACACTAGCGGTCTTGGTCGGTCGATGAGTCTTGTCTTGAGTTTCAACGTGGTATGGGCACACTAGGTCGGTCGTTTTCCACCTTG